GTGAGGATCACCAGAGTGAGGATCACATTTGATTTCATGAAGGAGTATTTCGTTCATAGAATTAAGTGCAAATAAATAGAAAAATATACAGTATTTGGGTGTAGAATTGGAGATTTTAGGATAACAGACTAAAATCATTAAATCGGTTATCAAAATCTCATTGTAGTGGGAAAGATAATTTTTCACATAAGAAATCTTCATCACATAAAGATAGTTTAATAGTTACTGTTTAAACTTTGCATTTCAGTTTTGCTAGTATTTCAATAATTTAGTTTTGATTGATTCAAAATTAGTGATAATCATTTCATTTGATTTCGGTGAATTTCCTAGTTAATTTATCATTTCAAATTTAAACCTTCTTCGCGGTATTGATACTCGGGGCTTAAATAGAAAATCCTTTATTACTTGATAACGATACGTATATTTGCGTAGAATCCCAACATTAATTGTTTAAATTTCTTAATAATAAATATTGCATAAAGCATTAGGCACCGTTACATAGAGGAGTCAAACTTATATAAATTTTACACAACTATATTTTACCGGGATCAGGCACTGATCCACTTTCATTATGAGAAACCGGTAGGTTCTTGAGGGGGGTAGTCGGTCAGTTGTCGAGTGACTGCTCGACTTGCCTGACTATTATTCACTATTAATCTCTATTGGGGGAACTGTTGAGAGAACTTTATATTGATACTTGTTATGTCGTTGGAGGCAGTAGGCCTTTTTCTGGTCATTTCTTTAAAAGAGATCGGTGTGGATGCATGTCCCTTGTTGCGTTGTTTGCTTGGGAGGTCCTTCATTTATTTGCCTAACCTTCAGTCAGTCAGCAACCGTTCGATCGGCTGACAAACTTTCAGTTGGTTGGTCTTGCTATCTATTGGCTGAGTAGATTTCTGTCGATCAGATTCATCATTCATGAGACCCTACAATTTTTTATCAGAGAGGACCCTCGTCATATTTTCTTTGATATGGACCATTAGATTGTCTCGAGATTTGTGCATACACATTTTTGATATACAATAAAGTATGAGTATAAGAAATCAAATTTCTAGACCTTTTTTTATATTAATTTAATTTTAATTCTTTTTTCCCATTGAAATAATTTAGAATATAAGTCCATTTTCACTTATGTAGAAACTTAATTTTTTTTGCATAAAAGAACATTAATAGTAAATTGTGCGAAGTAGTTGTTGAACTTGTCAAGACTCGCAAACCTTAGAGCTGAAAACGCACATAGAATGATACTTAAATTCCATTACACACTATGAAATGTAATTACTATACATTTAAAATCAAGAACATAATTAACTCATATTTGGAACCAAACCTAAAGTCACTGATTTGTTTGATGTAAATTCAATAATGTTTGATTATGTTTCATTCATTTATTTACACAACAAATCAAAAATTTGTTACCTTTTAAACCCTTGATGATTTTTGGCTTCATGATTTCTTACACTTATTGAAGTCAAATCCCTCCACACTTAATTCAAAACAAGGTTCGGATCTTCTTGTCATTCTCTGAAGAAAAATTAGAAAAAAAAAATACATAAATAAACTTTTTCAATTATATTTTCCGAGAAAACAACTTAAAGGAATGTTTACACGTCCATTGAGGCATATATAACATATTTCCCTTGTTTTTGAGGAGAACTGTTGCATCAGCACTCCACACCTAGAGTTACGTGCAAAGTCCAATGAAATCACACCACGTGACGGTGATAGAAAAGAAAAATAAAATTTGTCAAGTAACACAAGAGAATATTCCCCTCATGTTATTGTGTGTTATTCAAGTGTTATTGATGTGTTATTGTGTTATTATATCACCGAGAATATTTCCAGAACGCAATAACACCTGAAAAACATACAATAACGTCTGAATAACACGAAATAACACGGGGGGAAATATTTATGTGTTACTGGGCTGGTTTTTTTTCTATCATCTTCACGTGACATGATTTCATTAGACTCCACACGTAACTCTACGTGCAGACTCCTGATGCAATATTTTTTTTGCTTATAAGAAGTGAATTTATTTGCTTTCACATACACTTGAAACATTCTGATAAATATTTGGAGATATTTTTTTATCCTAACGTACTATAATGGCTCATGTTTAACATTGTTATTTTACGGGACAATTACATAGGACGATTACATATACCACCCAATTCCTATGTATTTACAAAGCATCTAACACCTAAATTTTATTTTTTTTATATTTATATCACTCAAATCTTTCGTATCAAATTAAAAATATCACCATTTTAACTTTTAAAAAGTTAAACAAACATTTCCATGCATGGGTAAGGTGGTGTATGTTGGTAAAAATTCAAGTTTAAGTATGTCAAATATGTAAATACATAGGAATTGAGTGCTATGCATGCACAACTTGCTATTTTATTTTAATTTTATTATTTTAAGATAAGCATACCACATAAAAATGCATTTTTAAAGTTTCATTGCGTTTATTTGCTTATCATGTCGTTTACATGTTTACCAACTGCGGGGTCCAAAAAGTAACAAATTATTTGCGTGAGGATCCAAAAAGAATTTTGATTTATCAGCTATAGCCGAGACAATAAACGAGCTAAACATGAACAAACAGAGCTTGTGTTCATGCTCGGTCGTTTGAAATTTAATTTATTTGAAATAGGCTCGT